CCTTTGTATCAGGCAATACCTGGAGTGTCTCCATTCATCCGAATTTTAAAACCCGGTTTTAAAAGGAAATCAGCATTTGTGCACCGACTGGAAAGAAACCATGCAGACTCACAGCGACTGAAAATCTGTCCTTCGGTGTCTCCCCGACTCCCTCCCCTGTCCTTCTCTAAAAAAAGAAGGGTCAAAGCAAAATGCTGGCAGCCCAATGAAATCTTTGAAGAGACAGTATGGTTTCAGTTATGAGAGGATGGAAAAATAAGAACCCTGGGGATCTTTTGGGAACATTAAGCTTTATTAATCAGGAATGTATTAGCAACATACCAACATTCCCAAACGGTACGCTGAATCACAGAAACGCCAGCGAGCAACAGAACCCAACCAGGCTGGTCTTCTGCCTTACAACAAGTTCTAGTACACCCTGAGAGATGGTTTTCCAAGCCATTCCTTAAAAAAGAAACCTCCCCTGCTTCCACAGTACCTACATGTTGCGCATCCCAGTGCTTTACAACCAATACAGTCAGAACATGGTTCTCAATCTGTAACTTGGTAATTTTCACTGCTCGTTGAACTGATTTCTTTAGGTCTTTCTCCCAATGGATATGAAGAACAATTAATCACTGTGCTACTGATTATAACTTTTCACTCACTAGAATATTTTTTTCGTATTCTCCTTAACATACAACAAAAGCAACACTGTCAGAAACATATAATGCCATGCAGGGATCCTACATATCCTCTTGCCCCTGGGCCAGATGACAATCAACCAGTTTCTACTTTCTCAACAATTTTAACACTAGGACAATTTCTGCTTTGACAAACGTTTTTGACCTCTCCATATTTCCACTGGGGTTCCACAGGTAGAAATCAGGGCAGAATTTATCCCCATGAGTTTCTGGATTAATGCCATGGTATAGGAAGGGGAAAAGGCAAAATTAATTCTCTTTGTTACTGCTAACAAAATTCCTCAGTGACAGTCAGCCCCAAGACATTGATCTTTGTTCAAAGGAAGCACACTTCCATACTTATTTCACATCTTTACATGTCTTCTCCAGCATAGCTTCCACAAGCCAGTGCCTTCTGCATAAAAACAAAGAACCAAAACAGCTAAACAAACTATTGAGGGTTTACATTTTGGGGGAGGAATAGGAACAGGCAATTTGCAGGGCTCAACAAAGCCCACCTTAGCCATGAAATTCTAGTTAAAACAGCAAGTTACAGGAGGGAAAGACGGATTCCATATCTATCAGGAACCGTGAGGATTCTTGCACTGTAAGGAACCCAGCAGGGTAGCTTGTTTGTTGCTTCAAAACTCTTCCTTCATTTAAAAGCACTCCTGTGATGGACGAAGCCCTTCTCAGCCCTGACATCCTGACGCTACACATGCAGCATGCACTCTGGGACGCCAGCTTACTGTGTCACATTGGCTTGGGTTCTGCCTGTTCCTTTCCTTATGCCTGCAAGCTCAATTGAACTTATGAAAATTCAAACTGTCTCCTGTCTGTTTCATACATCATCAGCAAACAATCACGAGACAAAATGAATTTGCTGTCTGTAATTTGGAGACTACACAATTGTCTCTGCCGTATAATACAAAAAAGGGGAATAAAGTTTGGTATGCAAGGTTAATTCAGCATGGAGGAAAGTAGCAGAGAAACAGACGGAGAGAGAACATGAACAATAAAATACTCAACAGTGGGGAGAGTGACATGAGAAATACTTCTGTAAATTGGAGTTGGCCTTGATACCTTTGAGTGATGGAATTAAACAAAGGCACAAGTGAGTTGTGAAAGATCACCCCCGTGAGTGGCTGTATCTCCATCCCTCGTGATTTGTCTACACAATATACTTATTAATAATAACAATGGTTACTATTTCTCCTCTAAGAGCTTTGCAAACACAAACTCAATAATGTTCACAGAGCTGTATCAGTTTGAACCAGATTGAAAAAGTGATCTGTTGAATAAGGCACAGCAAGGTTAAATGACATGCCCAATGCCACTCAATGAGCCAGCATCTGCCAAGATTAGACCACTAGACCTCTTGGTCAGTAATCAGATCACAGGGCTGCATAAGGCTGCAACCTTGACAAATACCTCTTTTTAAAAAAAAAATGTGTCATGTATTCCTTATTTGCCTTAGCCAATGGCAATATAACTAAAACCACTGATTTGGAAGTGCATCCAGTGCATCTCCCATATAGGTTTTCAGGTTGCATGTACAGAATCTTTTTCTTTCACACACAATATGCTGTCACTGTCTCCTCCTAAAACTAACTAGATGCTGAATGTGAGCAGAGGTAGCTCCTCATACTAGACTTAATCCTATTTGGCGTTAGTTGCAAACAGCAAAGTACTTAACCACATCGTTAAAATTAAGTATTTGAGTACTCCCATGGATCTACTTGCCTATCAATCCATGTAACCTTAGTACACAGCAAAACATGGCTAGAGCACCCAACACAGCAAGAATCCAGTCCACAGACCTTTCCCATTAAGAGCATGCCTGCACTACATTTAGAAGGCTTTGTTTTTATGAAGTTTTCTACCAGATGTTCAAGTGTTGCGAATCTGTATTTTCTTCTAATGCCATGTCAAGCATATTTTGTATCAGCTGAAAATTTGAGCCATCTTATATTAATCAGTTGCTTTAAGCACATCCCTATCCTAAAGCAAGTTTTCTATCCTTCAATTAAAGAAATCCAATTCAAAAAAATCCCAGAAAAGTACCAGAGCATGTCTTGCCTTTTCTTCTTGCTGTTTTTGGGTTAATAGAGGAAAGTCATACTGGGAAGTTCACTATATTAAGGAGCTTACAATTAGAAACACTTGATTACAGCAAGCATACATGGGAAACAAAGGAAATCCTTAAAGCATACTTTCCTCTACAAACAGGGTGCCTCCATTTTTATTGTGCCAAATTACTAGTTACATGGATGTAAGGTACAGCAACAATCACATCTTCATTTTACAGCATACATAAAAGTTCCCCCATCTTGTGCTTCTGTATTCCAGAGTCAGGCTGCATACCAAGGCTACAGAACTTAGGAGCAGCTAGAAGCTTACAGGCAGGGTATTTTTATTTTGGAAAAAGAAAATGACACAAGAAACTCCGATTGGAAACTTGGACGTTTACTTCACAGAACAGAAAGAAGAACTGGGCAGAACAGAACAGTTTTGCGAGTCATGATCCCACACTCTGTTCCCATTTTGACCACTGGTTTACTCTCACCTTGAGCAAGCTGCTCAACATCTCTGCCTTGATGTGCTTGCCACCCTTGATTAAAAGAAATAAAATATTCCCCTAGACATGAGTTTTACACTTGCGTATTTATTTCCCTCTCAAAGCCTAGAGTCATGTAAAACTGAAAAAAAAAAAAAAGCCCATTCCAGCCAGCACTACTCATCAGGCCCATATATTGCTACCTGGTATTTTGCCTTAGGACTTGCTGACCATCTGGATCCTAAGGATTCAAAGAACATCCCTTAATTCACTCCTCACTCTGCTGTTGCATTTTGGAAAAGCAATTTCTTCTGCTTTCCAACAAAAATCCTCCTGGTTGTTCACACAAAACTAGAAGACAACTTTGAAATTCTGCATTCACAGATTCAGAAGTGTTCCCCTACTTTCTCCCCAACACCTCCCTTTAGATTGCTGCTGGACCGAGCAAATTCCATGAGTGTTTTCAACTCTGCTCACCAGTGTAACTGAGAAGTTAACCTCTGGTGGTCAGGGAAGCTGCTCATACTCAGGAATGATGAGCAGAACATGTTAAATGCCATTCACTGGCCACAGCCTGCAGTTAATACACAATATTTAAACAACACAATGGCATGGCCCTTGCCAGTAATGTAAAAACACAATGGAGTAGAGCCAGAATGGCACAATCTGCCTGCCTGAGTCATGCTTGGCGCTCCACGCTGGAAGGGGCATGCATTAGCTGCCCACAGTGTACTGTACCCTTCAGCTAGTTTAAAATAAATCATTAAAATACAAATTTAAAAAAAAAAAAAAAAAAAAAAAAAAAGGAAGGGGGAGGGACCGGAGTAAGGAAAAATCCCATGTAATAGTTAAAATATTTTAACACTGAAGTACAAAAGCACTGCTTTGGAAGAAAGCTCTGGATTTCATTACAGACTGCACATTTTGATCTTAAACAAGAAAACAAATTGACTTTGCTTTGTAATATGCCACAGTTTTGTACTATCCAATCAAAATCAATTTTTACCTACTATCCACAAGCTCCTGGACTTTTATTCATATATTATTTTATTACATTCAGAGTATCTGAACCTACTATATTTTCCAATCCTCTTTTGCATGCCTGTTGTTCAGCCACTGAAGTTCCAAATCTTAATTATTGTCCCAAATACATTCAATAAACAGATTCTAAATAAGGGTAGATCAGGCTGATGTACAATCTGACTTGCATTTATGGAATAACTATGCTCTTAGAAAGAGACTCCTTTCTTGCTGAGAGGCGCAAGACATTATTTTGACTGTTTTGTTGTGTCACAGCACCGACAAATTAGGCATTTCTGCTTTCATATACACCCTAAAGCAGCTGAAGCCCCCTGTGATGTCATCAGAAAGTTGTTCCTTTTTTTCCTTTTACAAAGGAGAAAAATTTGTTACGACATCACGAAAAGAGAATAAACTATATTTTATGCTATAAGTAATCTTCTGCTACTTTCTGTTATCTCTGCACCAAAGTGCAGAAATCCTCACTGACAAAGCGACAGAAACTGTAAGTCAACAGAGACGCACACTATTCCTAGTAATATTCAAAACAAAGCAGAAAAGAATGGTCTATTCAGGGGTCTGAAATTAAAGATCTGCAAGATGTAAGTTCGGTTTTAATTTTTAAATAAAACATCCTTTGAACTTCTAAATCCCATTCAAGGGGACTCTGACCTTTATCCAAGACCAGCTACTGTGCTAACACTTTGGATGCATATAGAGGAAAAATACGGACAAAAGGTACCGGAAAAGCCTTTACTTACAGGAATGCAGTGCAGCTTAATCTTTTTGTTTTTAAGGTGCAGTGATTTCAGCATCTACAATGTAACTTCAGGCAGTCTGAAAAGAAACAGGTTAAAATCTCTTTCAGTTATAATTGGTATTTCAGATTTAATTAAAAATTAAACTTTCATAATGTTTCACCATCCAAAGCAATGCATTATCAGTCAAGCGTAGCCTTTTTTTCTTTCTTTTTTTTTTTTTTTTTTTTGGTTAAAAGAAGCTCTTCCCAGAGTAGTTCGCAATGAAAGAAGAAGGGGAAAAAGGCAATTGAGAGTAGCAAAATACATTTCTTCAGCAAAAGATCTCTGAATAACTTGGAAAGAAGCCTTCTGCCACTTAATTTTAACAATCAACCTTATACTAATTAAAAAAAAATAAGTATCACAATTAAAGAAGACAGAAAAACACCATCACATACCAACGACTGTGAGGGGAAAAAATGTTAATTTCAGCAAAACAAGGACATTGCTAGGACCAGAACATACGCACCAAAAGGGAAAATATGGTTTTACATAATGCCAGCCAACAACATTTTTTTTAAATCCGTTCTACAGCATGTAGCACTTTCAGACTGTTGCATGGAGGAGCAGAGGAAGAAAGACAAGTTCAAAAAGAGGAAAACTGTTTTTAAAATGTACAAGACAAAAGGTCCCTTGCACCCTTTTGTAAAGGGATACGAAATAGCTACTCTATAAACTGCAAGGTTTCTTATCATGTAAAATAAATGTCATTTTACTGTTCAAAACAGATGATTAAGAAGTGGTAGCTGTAGACATAGCATTTGAACAGATGCGACAGAAAATATAGTTTTTTTCAAAATGCAGTTGGAATGACAATAAAACTCCAGGGGTTGCACCATAAATATGAGTTTAAGTGTTAGACTGGAGTTTAAAACCTGTGGTTTTAATTATATCTAATTATAAAGGCTCCAAAACCAGGAGAAATGAGAAAACAAAAAAATATTAATAATAAATTAAAACAATTTTGCAATAAGTTGTCAGGATTTGGCCTCATAATAACAAACCATACAGCTACATACACAGATGCGTACAATGTACCAATGATTTGTTAAAGGAACAAATCAAAATTTGATTAAATTTTATTTTTAAAAGGTGACAGCAGAACTTGCCTAATTTACCCCATTCAAAGTCAAAGCTATTCTCTTCACCGGGAGCACTCTGACAGAGATCTGCAGAGAAATACTGGATGTGAATCCAATACTGATTTTGAATGTCCCACAGGCTGGGGGCAATTCTTAAGTGCATTTTTTTAATTTGTTCTCCCATGAGTAAAAACAGAGTTCTTCAAAATTCAGTGTTGTATGAGCCTTCCCAATCTGTCCCCACAGATGTTTAAAAAGAAATGCAATGTATGAGACAATATAACATCATACAAAATGTTCATACACACATGGATACCACAAACAGGAATGAGCTCAGGAACTTATTTTTAGGTTTAACTTTTCCATTCTGTCAAGATCAGAGGTATTAAAAAGCAGGAGGCAAAGCAGAGAGCACAGAAGAGAACAGCACAGCAAGAATTATCAAATCTTACACAGAACCAGTTCTTGAGCATTCGAATGAAGGACCAAGAACCCCCAGACAGAGGCACTAGGACGATGCTGCCAAAGGATAACCTTTATAGGCTCAGATGAATTTTTTCTTGAAGGAATCATTTGAGAAACATGTTCCTTCTCCTTTAGACAATCTTTACATCAAGTAACTATCCTTCTTTTTCTTGATCGGCATCTAGTAAGATAGATAAAGGAACAGTGGAGAAATCCAGGCAAAAAATCCTAAGTCCATCAGAAGTAGACAACAGCGTAACTGCCAGATAAATGCTAATAGCTTCACTCTCTGAACTTCCATTTCTTTCCCTTCTGAATTTACCCCTTTTCTAAGATCTTCAGGACTGTAATGCCAGCTTGCTGGCAGGGAAGAAGAGGGGCAGCGGTATTTGCAATCCAAAGCTATTTCTTTTAATGAATGCAATGAAAAACTGACCTCAACTGAGAAAACAAAGAGCATTCACTGACGGTGAAATGTATCCCTGTATAGAGAGCCAGCATACAGACTGCACCACTGAAGCCCTATTCTGATGACCTAAATAGGAATAAATTGGTGCATGGACTTCATCACAGTGAGTTTTGTCCAAAACCCCCATTTTCTTGTACGGAACGAGGAAGCATTTAGCCCTCGCCTATCAAAGCACAAAGTTACAGCACCCCTTCTGCATGCTGGGCACCATCCTGACAACTGCTCTTTGGTTTTAACCTGAAGTCCCTCCTGCTCCGTGCACGTTCTTCTGATTGGAAAGGAAAAGGAGGAGATATAAGTTCTGCGAGTTAAGTACCGGGGCACAGTGCCTGCAGATAAAGAGGCCCCTCTCCTCAAGGCAGGCTGAGCAGGCACGGGTTATGAACCACCCATTAAAATAAAGGAAGCCTAGGAAACAGCTGGCTGTGATCACTGCCATCGTGAAATAGCTGTAGTTAGAACTCTTGACTTACAACACACACAAACACAGCATCTTAAAGAACTATTTTAGCTACAGGTTGAAGTTAAACCCAGAGTAAAACCTACAGAAAATCTCCTTAAACTCAGAATACCAATCATTGCCACTTCTGTAATACCTTTTGTTTTACAAAGTGAGAAACCTGTGGCCTTGAGATGAAATTATTTAGACAGGTATGTACTAACAAGAGGTAGAAATGGAGGCCTGCACTCCTGTGCTCGGGTGAGCATGTTCAGCAGTGTGGGGCAGGAAAACGTCTGAAAGGAGTGCCCTAACCCCCTTCTGAAAAGCAAAGGATGTGGCACAAGAACAACTTGTGCTTGAGAGAGGCCCAAGAGCTGGAATTGCAAGAATGAAGAGTATAGCAGGTCAGCAAAGAGGTACATTAGTAGAGTATCAACTGCTTTCTCATGATTCTTGCTTGCCATAAAGTTTGTGCAGAGCCTGGACAATTGTCACAGCAAAACTACCATCTATATAATGACTGAAGTTCATCAACAATATTCCATTACTTGCATGGCACCTGAGGCTACTGTGCCTGACTCACGTTTATGGTCTACCCCCCTGCTTTCCTAAGAAGCACATTCATTCCATCCAAAAATTAAAGAGAAGAAAATGAAATATAATTTGTTATTGGAATACATTTCAGAAGATGTCAGCCTTCTGCAACCTTTTAGCAATAAGGAAGTTCTGCATCTGTAAGGGCTTGAATAGCTGAAGTCAGCTGTAGCAGGTTAATGAGAATCATATACAGTTGAGTAGTTATGGGGAGAGGGAAGGCTAAGAAAGAATATAGCAAAACACTTTTGGTGTCTTTTGAATTTTCTACGTAGAGTTTACAACATCGGTCAATTATTCTCTTTCAAAGTACTTGCTCATATCATCACTCTCATTTCTGGAACTGCAAATCAATGATGAATCAACTGCCACAAATAACTATTCAGAGAAAGTAAAATAGTGTGTCCTTACTCATGAAAAAACCTCATTAATTATATCAAGAAAGCCTTCTTCAATAACCAGGGAAAGGGGTTAAAAACACCCCACCACCACCAACAACAACAAAAAAATCAAGCCTGTTACTTTCAAGAGAATTTTCAAATAAGCTCAGGGGCCACTCAAGAGAACTCATTCCAACTTCAGAGTCCAAATAGTGACTTAGGATATGGCCCAGGTTACTTTCTGGCATTTTAGGTTTGAAAACATAAGCAGGGTCATGGACTAACTGTGTCACAGAAAGCAGAGAGGGAGATCGATGCTGCACAGGCTCCTCATCTAACAAAAAAATAAGCAAACTTTGAAACTGGAACCAGTACAGATACGTCAGCACAATGCTCTGTCGAGGCTCATCAGTAATGCAGAAGAACAAATCTTATTAGCATAGATATAGCATTACACTACTTCACCTTTTTTTAAGGTGAATGCACTTTCATTGGTACTAATTCTCTATAAACAGGTTTATTTTGTCACCATTCTCTTGTCTTGAGGGGATAGAGTAAAAAAGAAAAAAAATGGTAATGCCTGTGCTAAAGAATCCTCCCCAAAAGGAATGTTTTCCTGAATTGGGGCCCTTTGTACACTTTTAGAAGTACACATGGCCGTTTCCAGTTTAGTCTTTGAATTCATGGCCATTTGTATGGTATAGTGGCGCTGAACTGGGCTTCTTCCTAACTCTAGAACTGTGCGGTCACAGAGCTGCTGATGGGAGAAACCTGGGGTTTTTTGGTGATTTAGTAGAACAGGAGCAGAGGACAATCTACAGCATTGTGCTGGGATTGAGGGTTCCAGTCACTGCAGTAACGGGCAACAGGAGACCAAAGGTTTCTTTATCAAAATGGTAAATTTCCATCTGTTATTAGGTCACTGCAAAGCTGTGTGCCCACAGAGATTTCATCTTCCTTATGACATTCATCTTTTGAGTTTACTTTCCCAGTGAAGACTGTATCCATTACAAATTTTAATTTCCAAACCATGGCTGTTTCAGCTGAAGAAGCATTTTAATCAGGAAAAAGGTGTATTTTTGGCTACTTTTCACACACTCCACCCCGTCCTCAACAGTGTTTGAACTATTTTTGTTCAAGTATGAAAAATACTGCCTTTGGGCAAAGACTAACGCTCCTTGAAATGTGGGTTTCAGAAAGTTAGAGACACTCAACTGAATAAAAGCTGCGATGCATAATCCACCCTAATGGTCACTCTGAAGCAGGTACTGGGTGCGATTTCACCACAAGGGCCCTCATACCTGTTAAACGTTTTGAATCCCGTAATAGCACAGCCCACCCCTCTCATTTATTCCTACAGTTACCAGACTAAGCAATAAGTACTTGAGAAGCCCAGCTGTGAAAGCACATTAGAAGCTGAACTTCTCAACCCACTGAAGAGTTAGTCTCTTTATAACTGCACTTAAGACCTGACCTGGACTCCTGAAGTGCAGTTCAACTGGTAGTTCTGCTATGGCCAGGTGGGACCCAGCATCCTTCTAAATACCTCTTGAAGCTTTCCTCCTACGCAGGGACGATGATGGTAATCAAGCTGGCTGCTGAAAA